ATAATATATTCTCAAAGTCGGAGGGAAAATATGAAAAATATCTCAAAAATTCCAATAAACTATTAAAAAATAACAAGAGCTTCGAGATGCTCATCAAACATACTTCAGGTAAACATCAGGACTAATGACATCCTGGTACTTCGGATCTTCCAATATTTTGAGCAACTGTTGCATCGGATATTTTAAAATGTCTACGGACTCAAGAAGACATCGGTTTATGTTGACATCGAAATACTCTGACGCTGCCTAAAAAATGACAATTTTTCCTTGTAACTAAAGAAAGCGAACGCTCACCTTCAATAATGAAGGCAAATTGTACTTGGTGGCAAGCTGTCGCACAGACAATGAATTGGCTGCATCCAAATATCTGTCGAGATACTCTGCACAGTAGTTCTTCAATTTGGTTACCTTGACGAAAAGGCGTCAAAATAAGGAAAAACAAACAAAAATTGCTTAAATAGAGGAGAGTCTCCTCACCAGGAAATTATTTGCTAAGCGGAGCAACTCAGCTACAGTAGTGCGATCAATAACGACGCAGCCACTATACATATAATTGAGCAAAAGCTCAAAAGCCTTCGGATGTTGACAATTCACAACCACCTAAAAATTTCAATGTACCGACAAAGATAGGTAGCAGTTAGACGGGAATTACCTGTTCCTTCGTCACCTTTGTGGACTTCAGAATAGAATCGAAATATGGACTACAAGACGCCAAGATATTGCGATGTGCAGAGAACTGCCTATCTTTGACGACTATGCAGACGTCGCAAAATCTACCCGTCTCTCTTTGATAGCGCATACGTTCAAGTACTGAAAAGAAGCGGTAAAAAGGAAAAGTCAGATCATTTACAATGTCTCAATGTGTGCTGAACAAATCCACACAAAATATAATAATAAAAAAACATGTAGAATGAACTGAACTCTATCAGATACTATTTGGGAGCCAAAGAAAAAAGGGATTAATATGTAAAAAGAAACGTCAAGAACTTCTCACCGACACTTCCATGCTGATCCGTGAACGACATAGGATTCAATCCCGTTCCTTCTGAGCTAGCTGCAAGGGCCGTCATGAGCGAGATTAGACTAGATTATGCCCCCTCTCACTCTCCACTGGAAGAGACTGCGAGTAATTGATTTTTAGTAGAAAAACCTAACATGCTATACCAAAAACCTTAGCACTAATGCTTAAATACAGTAAAAATCAAACAAATGAAAGAAGAGATATTATAGGATAGTCTCAGATCAGCATTAGGCAGGAGGACAATACTTGGCGTAAACATTAGCAGTGTGTGCAACTACACCTCCTATTTGCACCGGTCGGCGACTTGGCCATACCAGACGATTCGCCAGAAAAGCGCCTTGTCCGACCGGTCCGCGGCAGTCGACGGCCGTTTGGGTTCGCGCAATAGGTTAATACTGGAGCACGATTTCCTACCATTGTTACAGCTTATACACCTACGTGACCACATCCACCTTTTATCAAAATAC